TCCATGAGCAAATCGGAGACTCAAAACTATATAAATGGTTGATCAACATCAGGTTTTATTCCTGCCCTCGTTGCCCTGGTATTAGGCGGGTTTTCATTTAACGGCAGAATATAACCTGCTTCTTTTATACGTCTGTATTGGGACACGCCATGGTGCACTCAAATCTACCTGTCCACAATCAGTCGTTTTGTTGAGAAAAATAAAACTATATGAAAACAAATACCAATGTGTATGTGGACGTGAGTGACGGAGCCATTATCATAAATCATTAATGTACCTCATCCCATACGTATGAACGAGAACGTGACGAGATGTACTCTCATGTCTGTGAATACCATACATTGGTAAAAGGGTGAATGTGTGGATGGAATGGTGTACTTGCATGATGTATATATGCTCACATTTGGATTTTATCGACAAAAAATAACTTGTCCCCGAATAATCTTCCAAAAAAAAGTATGCTTATGCATTGTTGCACAAAAAAGAGAGAAATTATCTGCCACACCAATTACATTGTTCTAATGTGTTTTTCGGAAGAAATGATACCATATCAGAGAATTGATAAGTTGCAGGTCGTTTAAAATGACCATATTGGTGAGTGCCCAGGACACGGGTATGGGTCTGAAAAACGAAGAACCTTAATTGGTTGAATCTGGGATTCGTCCCCATAAAAAGCAAATCCAAGTGGCAAAGGAATGCATCTCTGCACATCAACTGGATCGGATTTAAAAAAATATTTTTTTATGATTTCATTTCTTTTTGGAGTACTCAAACAATAAGTTTACAGAATATAGTCCACATACAATTTAAATACATACAAGTTACAAAGTATATCTATAGATGATAAGAAAAAACAAACTATTCCAGTGTCATATTGTTTGATTGTGCAAGTTCGTGAGTTTGAAGGAATAGGTGGTGACAGAGAGACCAAAATGTCATGAACTGCGTGTATTTACATTGTGAATATGATATATTTCTGTCGATGTAATATGAATGGGTTATTTCTTGTTCGATGCGTGGGAAATCTGGTCTTCACGATCGTAGTCACTATTGATAGCCTCCCCTTGAATTGCTGCGCGAGAGCTTGAGTGAGTGAGTGAGTTGGGGTTAACGCCGCTTTTAACAATATTCCAGTTATATCACGACGTGTCAGCTTAATGTGGGAGGGAAGCCCGAAGTGATGCAGGTCTCAGACGTTAACCACTTCGGTGAAACCCACGAGCACGGGTATGGTGCCGACAAACCTAGAAACATAATCGGGGCGAACCGGGATTCGAACTCACAATCATAGGTTTCTGGCGTGTTCAAGGGACGCAACTCTGCACAGCGAATCGCGGCGCCTTAGACGACTGGGCCACCCGTGCCCCCGCGAGAGATCTTGAAGGCTCGTAGGGTACATAGTCAATACATGGTGTGTGTGTGTGTGTGTGCGTGTGGGTGAGAGAGTGGATGTGTGTGTGTGGATGTGTGTGTGTATATGTGTGTGTATGCGTGTGGGTGAGAGAGTGGATGTGTGTGTGTATGTGTGTGTGTATGCGTGTTGGTGAGAGAGTGGATGTGTGTGTGTATGCGTGTGGGTGAGAGAGTGGATGTGTGTGTGTATGTGTGTGTGTATGCGTGTGCGTGAGAGAGTGGATGTGTGTGTGGATGTGTGAATATATGTGGATGTGTGTGTACAGCTACGTTTATCTGTGGACTAAGTTAACACTGTGTGCTCCGAGCGAGGATACAGAATCTTAAGAGGCTGGAACAAAATACACGTGCGAGATGTATGCATATCCTCGAAGCAATTACCGTTTTTGCAATTGCATTTTTAAAAATACTAATCACCAAATGAGCTAGGTGGTAACAGTGTTGTATTATCTTGACACGTAGTATGCCCTATCACCTGTCAAATAACGACATGTGTGGCTCTTCAAAACAGAAAGGGGTTGTTGAGGGCGGGGACCCCTGGAATGTTGACAGTCGTTTCGGCCATGTCGCTTTGTGACCGTAACCCGCTATTTTAAAGTTTTCATTCAGAACGACCATTGAAAGTGGTTATCTGAAATTTTATTGATGGTCATATTTCATCGTCCATGGTGACCAATAAACGCAATAAAACATTTTCCATGTTAAGAAAACGCACAACTTTATGGATAACAACTACTGGTATATTGCATGTGGCATTTTCTAAAATACTAATCACCAAATGAGCTACAAATATTATCCATGAAGTTCTTACTTACTCACCAACTTCTAGAATGCCAATGAAAACCTTTCCATATTCATAAGAAATCTCTGCCCAAAGCAGAGTCGATTGTACGATTCCGACCATATCATGAGCATCAAAGCTGGTCACTCAAAGACTAGTTTGATGATTTCCGCTATAAGGAGGACAACTGTTTATACATGAATGAAGTCTCCACACACGCCACATGGGACAAAGCTTATCAATCATCTCTTGATGCCACGCGGAACTGGCGCGAGATCGCGTTATGCATTGATGGACTCCGTCGCTCGGTCTGCACAAGGCCACCCGGTGAGGAATACACGCGTTGTGTTAAGCCTGGCTTCACATGGAGAACACGGTCTTGTTTTATCGATGTGTTGGGGGGTTAACACCATTACACAGCGGCAGTAAATCAAATGGAAGAAGATAACCGACCAGGTTACCCAACGCCAATGAACGGTCGATTCCATCTGGCATCGAGAGTACCTGCTACTCTCGCACCCATGTTCGCCTCAGTCTGGTCTAAAGTTGATAATCAATTTGTCTTCCGTTAGGAGATAGCAGATCCGTCTGTAATATCGTTAACAGAAATTATCGTGTGAAACAGCATCTGCAACGAGTCACAGTAAATACAATATCACTTGCTTATAACTGGAAATTAGTTGTACGACGTACAGGACTTGAAGGAAGTACTATTTATATACGACTAACTTCAGCCTGCATGGTTGGATCATGTTCTAGTTTCTATTAGAAGTCGATCTGTCTTATTTTAAGAGCTGTATATCAGACAACAAATATCTATGAAAGTAAATGGGGATTACATGTTCAGTTAGATGAGAATATTTCACCATATATTTTATTCAAGATATTTGATGCACAGATTAAACCAAAACTACTTTATTCTTGTATCAAACATAGTCAAAGTCATTCTTCCCAAAATACAAATATTCTTTATGCGAGTGAGTAATGTTGATTAACGCCACAGCCAGAATACTCTCTCTACATCTCTGCGCCGAGACAAACCAGTGACTGAAATCATGAGCAACGGTCCTCGCGGTCGGGTTAAGATGTCATGCAATCAGCCACGGCACATAACCTGACCACGAGATTCCCAAAGAGGGCAGCCCTTGTGAAAAACATGCTGTGCTCTGGGCATATTCTGATACGGACTCCCCAAAGCCTCTGGGAGGACACTAGCCTTGCTCCAAGGCTGTCCTGAATGATATGTTCACGGGTGTATAGTAATTCTATCCTTATAACAGGCAAATCTTGATACGCGGACAGTACAACTAAGGGCGTCAGTATTTTACAGGGACAACTTGTTCGTATTATTTACATAATCTAGAAATTGTTGTCTACACTTATACTGTTTGCCTTAGAGACTTGTGCAAGTCTAGGCGGACAGTTACTGAGCTCGCTGTGTTACGAACAAAGCAAGGCTGACCTGGTAACCTAGATCCCCGAACAACAAGAAAACATTGATTCCCCGCCATATGTGATGCCTCACAAACGCATAATTATGATGTTACTGAAAGGCTTGAAGGAACATACTTATATTAACCACAAATAAGACAACGCTGTTGTGGAAAAGAATATTATTTATTTTGAGTATTGGGCAATACAGTTGATAGATACATGTGCAAAGGGTATGTCTATTTAAAAACAGTTTTTCTTGTTTAACTCGCACTCAGCATTATTCCAGCTATTTGACGGTGGACTGTAAATAATCGGGTCTGGACCAGACGATCCAGTAATTGACATCAAGAGCATCGAACTACGCAATTGGAATATGATGTCATGCATCAACCAAATCAGCGAGCCTGACTATCCAATCCTGTTCGTCGCCTCTTACAGCAAGCATGGGTTGCTGAAGACCTATTCTAACCTGGGTCTTTATTAAAAAGGAGATCGAATATAATGTAAGCATTTTCTGGCACAAATGGAATCATGTGGATATAGTATCAAAACTGTCAACAATATTGGCAGATGCACATACTCAACTAATAGAGCACATTCTTTTTACACTTGGTAACATGTGGCATTTGGTTATAATTATGTAAATGAAAATACTGAGGGCTCCATATGGTAAAAAAGGCATACTAGACGAGATCTTTTTGTCACAACATTTCAATATCAGAACTAATCAATAACGGAGATTCCTCTTCTCTTGATTTACGTTTTTTGGTCAGTTACTGTTTTTGCAATTCTTTCCTTCAAAGAATAGAAATTATGATCATGATGAGTTGAGTTACTTGGTCTTTTTCTATGTACTGTTTTTTTACCAGTGTCAGTAACTGTCGTGGGATGTGGTTTACTTGTAACAATGCCTGGTGTGAGTTCATATGATGATCATTGATATACTGTTAAGATGTAACATAACAATTCATCCATACTACTAAACAGAAGTAAAACTGCTTATTCTGTCGGATAAATCTGACCCAAACCATTCCGCTGTTGAGAGTCAAATATTGCATACGAATCAACATCCGTAAAAATTGCAATGGCGACATCATTAAAAGTTACCAAAAGTGACTGGGATATCAATATTACTTGTTCAAATGATTCTAGGAAATTTGTTTCCCCCTGCTTCAATATTTGGAGCACCTGTGACGGAGCCATAAAACTGATCTGTTATGCGGACAATATGGCTTGAGGCAGTGGCTGCTGGGAGCTGATTATTACCTAAATACCCCTCATAGCCTTCGGTGTTAACTATGTGACCGCAGAGAGTTGTGCCTTCATGCAACAGATTATCGAGGTCAGTGGAACATGGTACATACAGACGCAAATAGATTTGAACCCTGGGACACATCATATATGCCAGCGACCAGAGCTACGGCTGTACATTGAATTCCATTTAAACTGCTGATCATGTTCGCGTAGGCAGAACTGGGTCATTTCAAAGCCAGTCTACCATGTCATACTGAAAGGGGTTTCATCAGTCAATACATATACATGTATAGTGTATACTCAAAAACACATCGTGACATCTTCAGTTTGGAATACCTACGATACTGGACAGTAGGATACAATGGTGGATATATTCGCCTTCAGTCCAACAACTGTGTTATTGTGTGTGGCTGTGCTAGCTGTGTTATGGCTGATAACGCGGCGTCCCTCCGGCCTCCCTCCCGGACCCCCTCTCCTCCCGTTTGTGGGGAATGCCCTCTCCATGGACTCCGATCCCCGGATCACGTTTAAGAAACTCAGGCAGCAATATGGCGACATCTTCAGTTTGTACATGTTCAACACACCACTCATCGTCCTCAATGGCTACAGTGCTCTGAAAGACGCCATTGTCAAGAACGCCGACGTATTTTCTGACAGGCCACACACACTCCTAAATGACTTCATATCAAAAGGGAAAGGTGGGTGTCATAATTTGTTACAGCACAGGGTGAACATGTTGGCTCCATGATGTGAAAGCCTCGTCAACCGAGGCCTGCTCATTACAAATGTTTTTTTTTGTTCAAATATATCATTTCATGTTGATTAAGAATGTTTATATCTCCACCTATGTTGCCAAACATCAATGCCTTACAGAACATATGTTATTACACATCATATACTGTGTCTGAGTGGGGTATTCATGTTAAACTGCTGCATGGTATCTCAGTGTGTTAGCACTATAAATCGGCATCAGTCCAAGCACAACCTGGTACAAGCAGACACACACACACAAACACACACACAACACACACACACACACACACACACACACACACACACACACACACACACACACACACACACACACACACACACACACACACACACACACACACACACACACGTGTGCACCTAACATCTCAAACTGCGTTGCCCTATATCATATCTCCACCTAGTATTTCGCATACCATATTCCGACCTGCTTTTCCCGCATAACATCCTCACCTGTGGCCACCCATATTACATCCCCACCCGTCATAAATTAGAACAATTAAACGCGGATATTAAGAAATGTCTTCAACAAATAGAAATAGACTGTGTTCAAATAGATTGGTAAAGGGTTGAGAAAAGATTAATATATTTTATTAATCTGTTCCTGAGAATGCTAAACTTTATGGTTTGCGTTGTTGGTTGATATAAGTGTGCTGACTTCTTCTTACAGGAGTGGGTAGTACCTCTGGTGAGCTCTGGCGCGAACAAAGACGCTTCGCCCTCAACACTCTCAGAGAGTTTGGAGCTGGCAGGAACATCATGGAGGACAAAATACATGAAGAAATCTCGCAGTTTCTCGAGGCCTTCGAGACAGAACGGGGACAAGGGTTTGACTGCACCCGTCTGGTGCAGAACGCAGTATCCAATGTCGTCTGCTCCACTATGCTCGGCAAGCGATTTGAATATACAGACCCGCTTTTTGTTACATTTTTAAAAGCTATAGACGAAAATTTTGCCAACGTAGGTGCGGCTGGTGTGTTGAATGTACTGCCTATTGTGCGCTTTCTGCCAGGGGATCTATTCAAATTTAAGAAGACTTTGGAGAATGTAGATATCCTCCTTTCACAACTGATACACCCTATGCTAAAGGAGCACTTGGAGAACCACGACGATGATAACGCGGACGACTTCATCCACGCCTACATCAAGGAAATGCGACTTCGCAAAGAAAAGCAAGAGGACACGACCTTAGACTGTAAGCATAAACTGAATGTAGCTATATTGGCTGTACATGTTTTCCGGTATTTGCCTGTTTACAAGCAAATAAGTAATTTCCTTTTTTCTTTGTGGCGCTTGGACGAGTTCAGCAATGTCACTGCTGGGTGTCAGCATTAGGATGTGAGGGAAGTCCAAAATGACCTTTTTTATCCCCCTACGAGCAAATTAAACTCCACCCCATTCAGCGGACCCTGCCACAACAAAAGGGAGCAACACTAACTTACTAAACATATCCCTATTTAAATTGGTTCATGTTCTGTTTCAGTGGAGAACCTTGTCATGGTTATTGCAGACCTCTTTGTTGCCGGGACAGAAACCACAGCCACTACAATTCGATGGACACTGGCCTACTTTCTCCACAACCCGGATATTCAAGAAAAGTGTTTTCAAGAGATCCAGGAAAACATCGGCCAGAGCAGACGACCCTCCATGAAGGACAAGACCAACTTGCCCTATGTGGAGGCCACCATTATGGAAGTGTTGAGACGAGCGGATATCGCCCCTACCGCTCTCCCACACACCGTTCCCCACGATGTCCAGTTCAGAGGGTACACGTTCCCAAAAGGTGTCCTTGTCATATTGATGCTTGATTCGGTCCTACAAGACCCGGATGTGTGGGGTGACCCAGAAAACTTTCGGCCTGACCGTTTCCTTGACGACACTGGCAAGATTGTAAAGAAAGAAGAATTCATTCCCTTCTCTCTGGGTAAGTTTAATCGCTGGGAAAAACACAGCCCGAAATGTCATTACTGTATAATTGAATTAAACTTTACCTTGATTTCTTTACAAAAGGTCAAACAAATAGACACATTTGAAATATATAGTTTCAACCAATCCCACTAGTCGAGAAGTCCGGAAACCCTATAAAATGTAAATACAAATAGAATTGACATATCGATGATTTGTAAATCCGTGAATTATTTGCATTTGGATTCTAATGCAAAAAAATGTTTCACGCAACATTTTGAACTATATCATCTTGTATTTTATGTCAAGTCTTGTATGGAGCTTCGTATAGTTTGTATATATAACAACATGTGTTTGTCATGATAATGAACCAATATTAACGAACTGGGAAACATCCCAAAATAGATCTAGTTATTTGTAAAAGATACGGACACGAGGGAATCTGATATTTCCTGAACAATGACATATAAGGATTGAAACTCAAGGCTTTGAAATATTTCAGGTCGAAGAGCTTGTCTGGGTGAATCGATGGCCCGAATGGAGTTGTTCCTCTTCCTGACCACCATGATCCAGAGGTTCAAGTTCGTCCCTGTTGATGGCCAGATGCCCTCCTTGGATGGAATCATGGGTTTAACTCATTCTCCAAGACCATTTCTCATGAAAGCTATTCCCAGGATTTAATCAGTGAATTGACTGAGTGAGTGAGTGAGTAGGTGTTTAGAACCCTTTTAACAACACTTCAGCATGGTATTTCATTTTAGTTCATTTCAGGTGACGAAAAAAACCTGTTAGCTTTGCGGTTTGAAACTGGATCTAAGTCTAGATACACCAAAAGTATAGAATCTTGATGATTTAAAAAAGAAAATCACAAAATATTTGGTGATCGGGTGGTCAGGGGCTATAACTTGGCTGATTACAGGTCTATCCTGATGCGTTTGGTCGTTGCTCATGCGTCCACTCACTAGCTGCCTGGTTAGCACTCGGAAATATGGTGACAAAGCATTCGGAACAAAATGAAAATATTTATGTTGCTTTTCCTCATATTGCTTAATCGTATAATATCATGTAGTCTTGTATGCGAACGTGATGAACATTTCAGCGAATCTCTCTTTTGGTGTTGCACAGACGACAAATAACATGTACTTTTCCAGCACGTTTCGTCAGTAGTTTGTTTGGTATTGAACAGTATCATGTTTGAGCTGGTATAATCGTAGGTGAATTTATTTCACTGAAATTATTTAAGACCAAATGGGAATGTAACTGTACTTCTAACGCTTGAATCATGCATCAGTGCCCTCACATGGCTTGTTGCTCACATTTTAATTAAACTATCTTGGAAATTCAAGGTTCAAGAATAATATGAGTTTCAAATAATTCAAACTACTATCTCGATAATGTGACATGGGTACTTCTAATCTATTATAGGTTTCCGTTGTATAATATAGTATAATCCTCAGTCATGGAAAGTGGAGAACAGTTGACGCAGGGTGTCAATACACCAATGCAGTATTTGGATGCTGTGAGCAGACTTGAGGAAATGGGTTGACTCTAGTAATCGGTTCCATAGTGTATGCATGCAACGTAAGGTGATGCATGCATATAATGTACCTTTATGTAGTAATATGTTACACCTTCTTGAATTATTCATGTGACTATAACATTTTGTAAAAGACAATAAAAGTATTTTCATTGCTTTATTACAAGTGTTATATCCTCATTAGGAGTCTGCAAAATGGGATATGATCGGCACTAATCAGTTTTACAACTTGGGAAAGAAGCATTGGATAGTGGGAGAACTCAACCGTGGCATTTCTGATTTTAAGATATCTGACAAATGGGATGGGACCGATATATCTTGGTCATGACACACTCAATCATTCCTCAAATTGGTCCTATTCACCGCATGTATTCCCAAGTGAGCATCTGTCGTGGCACGGATAGTCAAGTGAGCTAATGCCATGACTTGTTTGGCCGTCGTCCGTTCACTGGACCAGGGCCATAGAAGTAATAAATCGGAAAGAAGAAAGTGAAACTAAACTGAAATTTGGAGTGCCACAGGGACCTGATCTTCGCCCAATACGTTCCACTATATACATCCTACGAGTTGGAAGAATTGCCAGATCTCATAGTCTCAGTTTTAATTTGTATACTGATGACATGCAGCTCTATATATTTGGTTGACAACAAACCTCTACAAATTAAATGAAGGCAAAGTGACATTTTGATCACCAGTTCAAGACTACGTAGCCTCAGATTCCTCTTCCTAATATACAGGTTGGGGAAAGTATTGTTCAATCAAACTGTCACGCACGAAGTCTAGGTTTGACCATTTATTCACCATACAGTTTGAGAAACCATTTGAATAACATCTGCAATGATACCTACTATCAGGGAACTGAATATCAGACAAATCAGAAGATATGTGTCAAATGCTTAATCTATCCATCTATCGCTTCAAGATTACATTATTGCAATAGTCTCATGCATGGCGTTCTACAGCCCTCCACTGCTGGTCGTGATGGGTGACCGAAATGGGCAGTCTCAACTGAGATTGATCAGCTATTGACGTACACGTTGTAATGTCAAAGAAACAGCGAAAACGTCTTAATCGTAGGCAAACATCAAAGATTTTCCTAGGTTCATAAATCCTTTGAGCCTCTGGTGATGCAGGTGACTCTATTTTCAGAGCACAGAAATTGGAGACCCTAACGTACACGTGAGAGATCCCCTGTCATCATCGAGTTTATAAGAAACATATCTTAAACAAAATGATAGATTTGAAATGCGCCATTACAATTCTTATCATTAATTTTCTCCCACAAGTGATAAAACCACTGGAAACTCTTCCTTTTTGGTGAGGCATCATCCACAGCCCTGTTCCTCTTAACGCAATCTTCAGGCTGTTTCCGTCCACCTTACTTTACAAATCACCCTTTGCTCCTCCATCTTCAATTCTTCAGCAGACCGATCTTCAGGATTTATTTGACCATCTCTCTAAGCCATGTATCATCATAGATCATCTTAATTGACATAAGCTACTATGGGGAAGTACTGTTTCTATCAATTTTCGGAGAATTCGTGAAGATTTTATTTCTAATAATAATTTATACATTTTGAACCATTGCTCGAGCACATATTTACATCCTGCAACTGGAAAATATTCTGCTTTAGGTCAAACATATATAATGAATTTGAAGCCTATGATGACCTTTGTGGAAGTGACCATTTTCAGACAGAAATTACCAATGATCCACCTCCAGTAAGACGGAATGTTTCGAAGTCATTATTTTAGCCCAACTGCTCTGACTAATTAAAACAAGACCTTTTTATGGATGTTTCTGATCCAAATTCAGTTCTTCTCTGACAAACTGAAACATAGTGCTGTTTCCAAAATGAATTCACTCACGCCTATGTCAAAGGTATGTATGAAAAATGTGATATCGCAAATAGGTTGGGTGAAACTTTAGCTAAACATTCTTCTTCATCTAATAATAATCCAAAGTTTCAGTAGTATTTAAAATAATAGGAGAGGAAAAAAGTAAATTGTAAATCTGACAATAGCGAAGATTATAATGAGGTATTTTCACTATATTAGCTACACAAGGCCTTAGCACAAGCTAAACACTTGACTGAATCTTGTGTCGAAACTCTGCTGAATATTGTATCAATCTAAATATAAGCAATATAAAAGTAGGACATTTCCCAACATGTACGTTTCCTGACAAGACACTTCCCCACTCAAAGTAGGACATTTCCCAAAATATATGCGTTTCCCAACAATGCCCTCCCCACTCAAAGTAGGACATTTCCCCACATATACGTTTCCCAAAAAGGCACTTCCCCACTCAAAGTAGGACATTTCCCCACATATATGTTTCCCCACAACATACTTCCCCACTCAAAGTAGGATATTTCCCCACATATATGTTTCCCCACAAGATACTTCCCCAATCAAAATAGGACATTTCCCAACGAGACAATTCCCCACTCAAAATAGGACATTTCCCATCATGTACTTTTCCTTACAAGACAATTCCCCACACTCAAAGTAGGACATTTCCCCACATATATGTTTCCCCACAAGACACTTCCCAACTCAAAGTAGGACATTTCCCAAAATATATGCGTTTCCCAACAATGCCCTCCCCACTCAAAGTAGGACATTTCCCCACATATACGTTTCCCAAAAAGGCACTTCCCCACTCAAAGTAGGACATTTCCCCACATGGACGTTTCCCCAAAAGGCACTTCCCAACTCAAAGTAGGACATTTTCCCACATATACGTTTCCCTACAAGACACTTCCCCACTCAAAGTAGGATAATTTCCCCACAAGTACGTTTCCCCACAAGACACTTCCCCCTAAAAGTAGGACATTTCCCAACATGTATGCTTCCCCACATGACACCTCCCGACTCAAAACTTTTAGGGCATTTTTTCCCCCAGCCCATTTTTTTTAAGAATTGATAAGAGGAAGTTTTGTGGGAGACTCTAAAATTTACTATATATTTGAAGCAAATATTAGAAATGAATCTTAACTGCCATGTTGACTGACTGCAGAATTTGTGATCTTAACCATCACCAGGTGTGAACATGTAGACAGAGTCTCTTTAGGTTCTGTGGCATACGATTGCCCAGTGACAGAACAGAACAGAACAATGTCTATTTCTCCAAAATGACTCAGTGATGTAGAGAACACACATTTTACAAGTAATCCTATATAAATAACATATAAATATATTACTGAATATATGCATCGGTGCACGGTATACTTATATACATGTGGAAACGAATATGTACATTTTTACTGGAACACATTCAGATAACAATCAATGTCATTAGAAAACATATACACATTCATTATAATAAACAAATCTTGCACTTATTTGTGTACGGACAATCCACTTTTGATATATTTACAAAACTGTATAAGTAATGGCGGATATTGATAATTCATATGATAGCTAAATTTGTGTGAAGTTGGATGTTGACAAAAACAGTTAGGTGATAAAGATTTCCAGAGATGCTGTAATTCATTACAACATAATACTAAGTGAAATTCATCCCCAATTGCAGCGTTACAAAGTGAGCACAGTCTGTCAATTCTGTATACATAATTCCATCTTCCAGTTTCAACTGCTAGTCCGTGGTTTGTTGTTCGTAACCGAGTTAGCCAAGCGCGGAGATGGCCACACTCAGTATTAGTGGTTGGGGATATCAACGGTAACGGTTTATTGTTAGAGGATTTTGGTTGTGACTACTTATTTCTTTGAACATGAGTATCTGACAACTTCCAGCTTGTTACATTATAGTAAACTAGACAAGTGATGGTGAATTATAATATTCATATTATTATAGTTTGTCAAATTGTAAATGAAACGGCAACATAAAATATTTTTATATTCATTGTGGGGTAGTTTCTGATGGGGGAATTCTCCATGTGGGAAAATGCCCTACACTCTCGCAAAATATTGACACAATGTATTGTCAATGAATACGTTTAAATGTTGCGTCACACGAACAATGTTTTAGCTACAATGACCTCTATAATCTACCCGGACACAATCATAATGTTTAAATTCAGTCTGCCACATCAAGCGTGAATAAGTGTTATGAATAAGCAAAACGATCTTTGCACTTGGTAAAAACCTACCCTGTATACATTTTTGTACATTCGAAACGTTCTTGTAACTTGTGGACACACTGGGCAAATATACATAAAAAACAGATGATATGGTGCGCAGAAATGCAAATAGAACTAATCTTGTTTATTTCCACGCCTTACTGATCATCGTTTACTTCTGCTACATGTATAGTTCCATGCAAGATCAAAGGCGCCGCCCAGCATTTATTAGACAACAGATAGTGTCGTCAGTTTCGCTTTGAATACAAAGCTGTTTCTGGTGTCCCCCGTCGTGATATTGTTTGAATAGTGCTAAAAGCGGCGTAAAACCATACTCACTCACTCACTCACGGTGTAGCAAATAGGCAGTAACATAATGCATGGGATTGTACCGGCGTTTACGTCGTAAAGAAAGAAAGAAGGAAGGATCTTTCTTTGACATAAACAATATACACCTGTGTCGAAATGAAACAGGGGTTTTCATGTGCAGTTCGTGATGTAGCGGGCACAAATCTGGATGCACGTGGTGAACGAGTGATATGCTATTATCGTTTGAATGTATATACATGTTACGTGTAATAAGGTTTTGATATCAAATCTAGTTACATTTACCTTGACACGCAGGGCTTCATGTATTATATTTTGATGTTGAAATGTTTCAAAGCGCTTGTATAAAACACAAATCTCTCCAGAGAAAAATAATTAAGTATACAGAAACCTGACACACTGTCTGTAGCTATATTTACTTAACATCCATGGGTATTGAATTGCACCTCTGATCTGTTCAATTGCAGTGAGCCATTCTACACGTCAATGATCAAACTTCATTAACAACCCAATCGTTGATTAAATAATTTTATCATCCAAAACTGGCCCCCACAGGAGATATCGCTTGGATTAGATCAAGGGATATCTACACTGTAGATATCGCTGCAATGAAATTACACCACAATGCTTTGCAGACGATTGTGACGTCACTGGTTACCATGACATCACAATCAAATGACATCCCTAATGGCTCTGCTACTGAAGCTGTTAGCAGTACTTTTTACACTGAAGACACTGCTTATTACTGTCTACAAATTGTAAAAGTTGGAAGAATGATGTTGAATGATAGATAAAATCTCACCCGAGTGTCTTTTGATATCAAATATATCAACATTCGTTGATAAAAGTGGGAAAAATCCCCGGCAAGCCTCGGAATCTTTCCACTTTTATCAACTCGTGTTGATATATTTGATATCAAAAGACACTCGGGTGAGATTCTATATATCCCACAGTAGAGAAAACGCCAAATGAGAACCAATAATTGATGTGAACAACAGACGCCATCGTCCGTACATTATAGGCAAGGGCAGAGGTGTGATACCACTAATTACACGTTAAGCTTTGTTTGTTTGTTGTTGAACGCCGCACTCATCAATAGTCCAGCTATATGGCGGCGGTCTGTAAAAACGTCTGGACCAGATAATTCAGTGATTGCTATCATGAGCAACTTGTCTTCAGTCTGCCAAGGACGTTGTCGATCTCTCGGGTGGAGGAGTAGCACAGAGTCAAACTGAACAAGTTTCATTTTGTCTTCTTTCTTGATTCTCTTCAGTATTTCGATAAACAGGAAGATGTTTGGGCGTTGGTATGCAGATTAGCATTCAAACGACTGTTGAATCATTGAAGGCTATTTTTTTTGGTTCTGGGACCGAATGTCTTATTGTGGTTCCACATTGGAATAGGGACGAGTGACTCATCGTCATGAATGATTGCGATCGAAGTGAAGGTGCATCCAGTAGCAAATTACTTCAGCACTTCTTGTACGTGTCTTAGATAGATAGATAGATAGATAGATAGATAGATAGATAGATAGATAGATAGATAGATAGATAGATAGATAGATAGATAGATTTTCTTTATTTCCTCCAGATATTGAAGATACATATCATATATGATATTATGTATAATTACAGAGCTGTACAGTAGTACAGTTGAACAATATTATTAGAAATGATAACTACAAAATGCATGACAATCAAGCATTCTTATAACTGTTTTGTAACAGATAAAGCCATTTCCCCACAATATATGCACAATTTAGTAAAAACATTTAGAGAAGAAGCTGAAGTGAAAACTTACAACTTTAGGTTGTTTTCTTGATACCAATGCTCATTAATTACATATATACGGATAGAAAATAAAACAATACATAATCCTATTGTATCTCAGTTAAGGTCTTTATTTATTTGATCTTGATTATACAGAGGATTAAGTCTATTAGGTCTGATCCATCACCACAACAGGTAAATCTCAGTTTTGACAAGCCATCTCTACTCCCCTAGTGTAATAACTAGGGTATCTGACAAATGGGATATGACCTTTCTATCACGTTAAGACATGACAGAGGATTTTACTTGATCAGTAACAACGGAAACCAAATAATTTGGAAGTACCCATGCTACATTAGCAAGATAGTTATTTATATTATTTGATCTTGAAAAAAAACTTCATGATGACTTTCAAGATGTCTTGTCAAAATGTGTGCACCAGTCCAGGCGTGGGCATTGGTTCACAATTCAGGCGTTATAAGTACAGTTACCTACCCATTTGGTCTAATATAATGCCGATGGAATCAATGCACCTATGATTGTACGAGATTAACTGTGATACTGTTCGATACCGAATACCTACTGACGAAAAATGATAGAAGCCTACATGTTACTTATCATCTGCACACCAAAAGAGCAGACAGCTGACATTTACATCACATTCGCAGACAAAACTACATGCTACTTATCATACGGAGAAACAACGACAAGAATATTTTCAAATTTTCTGAATGCTTTGTCATCGTTTCTGCAGGTGCTATCAAGGCAAGTGTGTGAAAGCATGAGCAACGACCAATCGCATCGGGATATATGACCTACAATCAGCCAAGTCTCAGACCTTGAGCACCCCATCACCAGACTGGTTGCCTCTTCTGACAAACATAAGGTATTCCAGCCTCTACAGCCATTGGATATTTACTCGCAGTGTACCGCAAGTTATGAACACAACAGGACAACACAAAGGACTTGACGTTGTCTTGCATGAGTCACTAAGGAAAGTATTATCTGATTAACTAATATACAGATGTTATAATTTTCATTTTTTATATCATCAAGCTAATAGTTTGGAGCTTCAACAGAAATGAACTAAAAAGCAAACTATTCTGAATTGTAGCTAAATGCAGTCTAAACAGCTACTCCATCATTCATTTAAAATGATTAAACTCTGGGAATGGCTTTCATGAGGAATGGCCTTGGAAAATGAGTTAAACCCATGATTCCATCCAAGGAGGGCATCTGGCCATCCACAGGGACGAACTTGAACCTCTGGATCATGGTGGTCAGGAAGAGGAACATCTCCATCCGGGCCATCGACTCACCCAGACAAACTCTTCGACCTGAAATATTTCAAACCCTTGAGTTTCTACTCCAATATGTCCTTGTTCAGGAAACACCAGACCACCTCGTGTCAGTATACCGTGGACATATGTCTATAACTATTCGTTATTATTGTGCCATTGCATTGAGAAACACCTGCTGTTTTATACAGAATCTATACGAAGCTATATATCACACTTGACCAAAAAGACAAGAAGATGTAGCGTTTGTAATCATGACATATACAATCTAAGTTCTAATGTTTTGGTGTATTGTCTATGGCTCGACAGTTTATATCTATTTAATTGATAAATTGTAAAGAAAACAAGGTAAGGTTTCATCAATTTACACAGAAATGGGAATGTCCTGGCGAGTAAACTCACCAAGAGAGAAGGGAATGAACTCTTCTTTCTTTACGATCTTGCCAGTGTCGTCAAGGAAACGGTCAGGTCGAAAGTTGTCTGGGTCACCCCACACATCCGGGTCTTGTAGGACCGAATCAAGCATCAATATGACCAGGACACCTTTTGGAAATGTGTGCCCTCTGAACTGGACATCGTGGGGAACGGTGTGGGGAAGAGATGCAGGGACGATATCCGCTCGTCTCAGCACTTCCATGATGGTGGCCTCCATGTACGGCAGCTTGGTCTTGTCCTGCATGGAGGGTCGTCTGCTCTGGCCGATGTTTTCCTGGATCTCTTGAAAACACTTTTCTTGAATATCCGGGTTGTGGAGAAAGTAGGCCAGTGTCCATCGAATTGTAGTGGATGTGGTTTCTGTCCCGGCCGCAAAGAGGTCTGCTATCACCATGGTCAGGTTCTCCACTGAAAAAGAACATGAACCGAATTAAATAGGGGTCGTTTAGTTAGTTAGTGCTGCGCCCTTTTGTGGTAGCAGGGTCCGCTGATAGGGGTCTAGTTTGATATGCTCTTGGGGCTGATGAAATGGTCATTTTGGTCTTCCCTAACATTCTTAGCTGACACGTAGTTATATTACTAAACTGGTTCCAGGACTACAAAGTCAAAAGATAATTACAAAATCGCTTGTTAGTTGTCAAAAACATGTACCAGAAAACATCATGTTCAATTGATATAGGTTCGCGCAGTTTATTCTGGTGTTCCCCGCATGATATTGCTCGAATATTGCTAAAAGCGGCGTAAAACCATACTCACTCACTGGTTCAGTTTATGCTTACGGTCTAAGGTCGTGTTCTCTTGCGTTTCTTTACGAAGTCGCATTTCCTTGATGTAGGCGTGGATAAAGTCGTCCACATTATCATCGTCGTGTTTCTGCAAGTGCTCCTTTATCATAGGGTCCACAAGCTGTGAAATGATGGTATCGATACTGCGCATCATCTTCTTAAATTTGAATAGATCCCCTGGCAAAAAGCGCAAAAAAGGCAGTACATTCGCAACACCAGCCACACCTAAGATGGCAAAATATTCTTCCAAAGCTTTCAAAATTTTTATAAAACGAGGGTCTGTATATTCGAATCGCTTGCCGAAAACAGTGGAGCAGATGACATTGGATACTGCGTTATGCACCAGACGGGTGCAGTCAAACCCTTGTCCCCGTTCTGTCTCGAAGGCCTCGAGAAACTGTGAGATTTCTTCATGTATTTTGTCCTCCATGATGTTCCTGCCAGCTCCAAACTCTCTGAGAGTGTTGAGGGCGAAGCGTCTTTGTTCGCGCCAGAGCTCACCAGATGATCCAGACAAACCTGAACAAAGAAGATAACAAAGGCCCGTTAGCACACCAACATCAACTAATAAACACACTCATAAACATAGTCAAAATATATATCTTTTCTAAATCCTTTACCAATCAATTTGGACATAGTCTATTTTTCTTTACATGTAGTAACGTCGTTAATCCTGTTTAATTGCTTTGATACATTACAAGTTGAGATGATGTTATGTTGGGAAAATCAGTTCGGAGTATGGTGTGGGAAACCCAAATGGGGATGTGATGGTGAGCGACACAGATGGAGACGTAATGAAGTCGGAAAATGGTGTGGAGAAACCCAGGTGGGGATGTGATATGCTGCAACAGAGGTACAGATTTGTGATATGTGGTCATACAGGTAAGTAGGTAAAACAGGTGGATGTGTCATGTGTTGTCACACAGGTGGAGATGTTGTGTGGGGAAACACAGTTTGATATGTTAAGTAGGTTAAAACAGGTGCAGATGTTATATGTTGCCACACAGGTGGAGATGTTATGTTGGGAAACACAGTTTAATATGTTAAGGAGGTAAAACAGGTGCAACTGTTACATGTTGCCACACAGGTGGAGATGTTATGTGGGGAAACACATTTTGATATGTTGAGGAGGTAAAAGAGGTGCAGATACTACATGTTGCCACTCAGGTGGAGATGTTCTGTGGGGAAACACAGTTTGATATATTAAGTAGGTAAAACAGGTGCAACTGTTTCATGTTGCCACACTGGTGGAGATGTTATGTGGGGAAACACAGTTTGATATGTTAAGGTGGTAAAAGAGGTGCAGATACTACATGTTGCCACAAAGGTGGAGATGTTATGTGTGGAAACACATATTGATATCTCAAGGTGGTAAAAGAGGTGCAGATACTACATATTGCCACACAGGTGGAGATGTTATGTGGGGAAACACAGTTTGATATGTTAAGGAGGTAAAACAGGTGCAGATGTTATATGTTGCCACACAGGTGGAGATGTTATGTTGGGAAACACAGTTTAATATGTTAAGGAGGTAAAACAGGTGCAACTGTTACATGTTGCCACACAGGTGGAGATGTTATGTGGGGAAACACATTTTGATATGTTGAGGAGGTAAAAGAGGTGCAGATACTACATGTTGCCACTCAGGTGGAGATGTTCTGTGGGGAAACACAGTTTGATATGTTAAGGAGGTAAAACAGGTGCAACTGTTACATGTTGCCAGACTGGGGGAGATGTTATGTGTGGAAACACAGTTTAATATGTTAAGGAGGTAAAACAGGTGCAACTGTTTCATGTTGCCACACAGGTGGAGATGTTATGTGGGGAAACACATTTTGATATGTTGAGGAGGTAAAAGAGGTGCAGATACTACATGTTGCCACTCAGGTGGAAATGTTCTGTGGGGAAACACAGTTTGATATATTAAGTAGGTAAAACAGGTGCAACTGTTTCATGTTGCCACACTGGTGGAGATGTTATGTGGGGAAACACAGTTTGATATGTTAAGGTGGTAAAAGAGGTGCAGATACTACATGTTGCCACAAAGGTGGAGCTGTTATGTGTGGAAACACATATTGATATCTCAAGGTGGTAAAAGAGGTGCAGATACTACATATTGCCACACAGGTGGAGATGTTATGTGGGGAAACACAGTTTGATATGTTAAGGAGGTAAAACAGGTGCAGATGTTATATGTTGCCACACAGGTGGAGATGTTATGTTGGGAAACACAGTTTAATATGTTAAGGAGGTAAAACAGGTGCAACTGTTACATGTTGCCACACAGGTGGAGATGTTATGTGGGGAAACACATTTTGATATGTTGAGGAGGTAAAAGAGGTGCAGATACTACATGTTGCCACTCAGGTGGAGATGTTCTGTGGGGAAACACAGTTTGATATGTTAAGGAGGTAAAACAGGTGCAACTGTTACATGTTGCCAGACTGGGGGAGATGTTATGTGTGGAAACACAGTTTAATATGTTAAGGAGGTAAAACAGGTGCAACTGTTTCATGTTGCCACACAGATGGAGATGTTATGTGGGGAAACACATTTTGATATGTTGAGGAGGTAAAAGAGGTGCAGATACTACATGTTGCCACTCAGGTGGAAATGTTCTGTGGGGAAACACAGTTTGATATATTAAGTAGGTAAAACAGGTGCAACTGTTTCATGTTGCCACACTGGTGGAGATGTTATGTGGGGAAACACAGTTTGATATGTTAAGGTGGTAAAAGAGGTGCAGATACTACATGTTGCCACAAAGGTGGAGATGTTATGTGTGGAAACACATATTGATATCTCAAGGTGGTAAAAGAGGTGCAGATACTACATATTGCCACACAGGTGGAGATGTTATGTGGGGAAACACAGTTTGATATGTTAAGGAGGTAAAACAGGTGCAACTGTTACATGTTGCCAGACTGGGGGAGATGTTATGTGTGGAAACACAGTTTAATATGTTAAGGAGGTAAAACAGGTGCAACTGTTTCATGTTGCCACACAGGTGGAGATGTTATGTGGGGAAACACAGTTTGATATGTTAAGGTGGTAAAAGAGGTGCAGATACTACATGTTGCCACTCAGGTGGAGATGTTATGTGGGGAAACACAGTTTGATATGTTAAGTAGGTAAAACAGGTGCAGATGTTATATGTTGCCACACAGGTGGATATGTTATGTGGGGAAACACAGTCTGATATATTAAGTAGGTAAAACAGGTGCAGATATTACATGTTGCCACACAGGTGGAGATGGTATGTGGGGAAACACATTTTGATATATTAAGATGGTAAAACAGGTGCAGATGTTATATGTTGCCACACATGTGGAGATGTTATGTGGGGAAACACAGTTTGATATGATAAGGGGGTAAAAGAGGTGCAGATACTACATGTTGCCACAGTGGTGGAGATGTTATGTGGGGAAACACAGTTTAATATGTTAAGTAGGTAAAACAGGTGCAACTGTTTCATGTTGCCACACCGGTGGAGATATTATGTGGGGAAACACAGTTTGATATGTTAAGTAGGTAAAAAAGGTGCAACTGTTACATGTTGCAACACAGGTGGAGATGTTATGTGGGGAAACACAGTTTGATATGTTAAGTAGGTAAAACAGGTGCAACTGTTTCATGTTGCCACACATGTGGATATGTTATGTGGGGAAACACATTTTGATGTGCCAAGTAGGTAAAACAGGTGCAACTGTTACATGTTTCCATACAGGTGGAGATTGTATGTGGGGAAACACAGTTTGATATGTTAAGTAGGTAAAACAGGTGCAACTGTTACATGTTGCCACACAGGTGGAGATGTTATGTGGGGAAACACAGTTTGATATGTTAAGGAGGTAAAACAGGTGCAACTGTTACATGTTGCCACACAGGTGGAGATGTTATGTGGGGAAACACATTTTGATATGTTAAGGAGGTAAAAAGGGGTGCAGATACTACGTGTTGCCACACAGGTTGAGATGTTATGTGGGGAAACACAATTTAATATGTTATGGAGGTAAAACAGGTGCAGATGTTATATGTTGCCAAACAGGTGGATATGTTATGTGGGGAAACACATTTTGATATGCTAAGTAGGTAAAACAGGTGCAACTGTTACATGTTGCCATACAGGTGGAGATTGTGTGTGGGGAAACACAGTTTTATATGTTAATTAATTAAATATGTTAAGTAGGTAACACAGGTGCAGATGTTATGTATTGTCACCCAGGTGGAGACGTTATATGGGGGAATCCTGGTGGAGATCAGATGTGGGTTTAAAAACTGAGGTGGAGCAACACCGGTGGTAATGTGATGTGATGGCAGGTTGAGAGATTTTATGAGGAAAACAAAAGTGCAGATGTTACGTTGGGAAACACAGTTGGGGATGTTGTGTATGGAAATACAGGTGGATATGTGATGTGGGACAACACAGGCAAAGCTGTCAAGTGGGGCAACACAGGTGGGAATATTGTAGGACAGCACAGGTGGAGGTGCCACGTGGGGCAACACAGGTGGGAATATTGTAGGACAGCACAGGCAAAGCTGTCAAGTGGGGCAACACAGGTGGGAATATTGTAGGACAGCACAGGTGGAGGTGCCACGTGGGGCAACACAGGTGGGAATATTGTAGGACAGCACAGGCAAAGCTGTCAAGTGGGGCAACACAGGTGGGAATATTGTAGGACAGCACAGGTGGAGGTGCCACGTGGGGCAACACAGGTGGGAATATTGTAGGACAGCACAGGCAAAGCTGTCAAGTGGGGCAACACAGGTGGGAATATTGTAGGACAGCACAGGTGGAGGTGCCACGTGGGGCAACACAGGTGGGAATATTGTAGGACAGCACAGGCAAAGCTGTCAAGTGGGGCAACACAGGTGGGAATATTGTAGGACAGCACAGGTGGAGGTGCCACGTGGGGCAACACAGGTGGGAATATTGTAGGACAGCACAGGCAAAGCTGTCAAGTGGGGCAACACAGGTGGGAATATTGTAGGACAGCACAGGTGGAGGTGCCACGTGGGGCAACACAGGTGGGAATATTGTAGGACAACACAGGCAAAGCTGTCAAGTGGGGCAACACAGGTGGGAATATTGTAGGACAGCACAGGTGGAGGTGCCACGTGGGGCAACACAGGTGGGAATATTGTAGGACAGCACAGGCAAAGCTGTCAAGTGGGGCAACACAGGTGGGAATATTGTAGGACAGCACAGGTGGAGGTGCCACGTGGGGCAACACAGGTGGGAATATTGTAGGACAGCACAGGCAAAGCTGTCAAGTGGGGCAACACAGGTGGGAATATTGTAGGACAGCACAGGTGGAGGTGCCACGTGGGGCAACACAGGTGGGAATATTCACTGCAAACACGAATACGTCGTTTTTTTCCGTATATGGTCATTGGACGGAAAAACGACTAAAAATTCATTAAAATTGATTAATTGGTCAGCGTCTAGAAAGTGTCCAGAAAAGGGTCGAGTTTTTCAAGCGTAAAATGGACGGAAAAACGATGCTTTTTGCTCCGCC